TATTTAAAATGTCATTAATTATGTTGCAAGGCTTTAAAACAGTCTTACAATGGGGAGACCAACTTGTTAAACAAAAACTCTTCTAAAAATCCAAGTTCACATGTGTTTAAAATATTCCATCAACAAGAGAAACATGAAAAGAAAACACGACAATTGTAAAATACTGAAGTGATCAACTTCAGCTACTGTGGAGACTGCTTTTTAAGGGAATGAATTGCTCAAGATACGTAGTCTGTTCTTTTACTTTTTTTTTCTTTTCTTTTTCTTTTTTTTTTATGCCTGTCAAGTATGGGGATCTGAACCCTTGTCATTGATGTTATAACACCATGCTCTAAGCAACTGAGCTAACCAGCCAGCCCCCATACTTTGTTCTTACTTGTTTTTTAAAAAAATGCTTGCAGGTGCTCAATGAAAATCAGGAGAATGGAAAGACAAGCCACAGACTGGGATAAAATATGTGCAAAATACATATCTAATGATGAACTTGTATCTAAAATATACAAAGAACTTTTAAAACTCAACAATAAGAAAACAAACAACCCAGTTTAAAAATGGACAAAAGATCTGAACAGAAACCTAACCAAAGAAAATATACAGATGGCAAATAAGCATACAAAAAGATGCTTAACATCATTTGTCACTAGGGAATTGCAAACTGAAACAATAATGATGTACCATTACCCACCTATTAGAATGTTTAAAATCCAAAAAACTGACAATAACAATTGCTGGCGAGGATGAGAAGCAGCAGGAATTTGCACTCCTAGCTGCTGGGAATGCAAAATGGTACACCACTTGGGCAGACAGTTTGGTAGTTTCTTGCAAACCTTACCATAATCTTACCCAGCAGTCGTGCTTCTAGGTGTTTATCCAAATGATTTGGAAACTTATGTCCACACAAAAATCTGTACACTAGTGCTTAAAGCAGTTTTATTAATAATCATAAACTGGGGGAAACCAAGATATCCTTCGTTAGAAAAATGTATAAACAGTGATACTTCCATACAATGAAATATTATTCACTGATAAAAAGAAATGAGCTGTTAAGGCATGAAAGACTTAAGTGAATCTTAAATGCATATTGTTAAATGAAAGAAGCCAGTCTGAAAAGCTATGTACTATAACATTTTAATTATAGGACATTATGGAAAAGATAAAAGCTATAAAGACAATTTAAAAAAGCAGTGGTTTCCAGAGGTTCAGGGGGAAAGGAGAATTATTGAATACATGAAGAATAAGAGATTTATTAGGGCAATTAAACCATTCTGTATGACAGTATAATGGTGGACACATGACATTATGCATTTGTCAAGACCAGTATAAAACATGTGATCTCATGTACAGATTTTCTGGCCCTATAAACACAGCAATTTTTATTAAATTCTATTGCATTTCCTCACTATTAACAGAAAAAAATGTATGGTTTGTTTAAAATTGAATACTCTGCATTACTGTTTTCCTGACAGGGGAAAACTTTCATTTTGGCCAGGCATTAATGAATCCTGAGTCTCCATTTAATTTTATACATCAGGTGACTGTGATGATTGTGAGAATTTTCTATAAACTGTTTTCTAGCTCTGTTCATTTCAGATCTTATTTCTCTTCCATCACCCACATACTTCTTATGCCAGGTCCATAGGACATGTTTGCACCATAATACAGCCTCCAGCCATGCACCTTTGGGTTATGAGGCCCCAGTGGGAGTGTCGCTGGAAGCCATTCCCACACCACAACAGCTACTGACAAATGAAACGACTACAAATTATACAAAATCATATGACCATGTGAATGCATGGCTGGGCCCCCTCCCAGGACTTTTAAAGAAACTATATAAGTGAAGGTTCCTGAAGTTTAAGGTTTAGATTCACAGAAAATCAGCCTCTAATTTCTAGGAGTCTTTGGAAGTTTTATTTTATTTTTTCAATTTTGAGGGTGAAATAGCAATCAAGATTGTTAACCAAGAGTGAAAATGGGGAATAAAGTGGGTGATTGGGGAGAGAAAATTATGTATGATATAGCTTTGAGAATGAAAAAGCAGATGGACTAGGGAAATATAGTATTATTGGTGTATTAGCCCCCAGTTGAAGATCATGAGAAGGAATTTATAGAGACCAGCAGGCATGCTCATGTATTGTACTGCAGCCATGTTAGCCATACAAGTGTAGACAAAGAGTTGGTGTAGAATTAGGTTTGAGCAGGGGTGTGGTTTACCACGCAAATATTAGAAAGTGAGAGAGACTGAGGGAGAAGAAGGTGTATGCAAGACAGTGACTATAATGCTGGAGTATGGATTTTAATAACTGCCTAAGGAGTGAAGAGAAGGCATCAAAAGTTGACAGTGAAAATGGTAGAATCAATAGATTGACAGGCGCAGCAGAGCAAAGAATTATTGGGGTTGAGGTTCATGATAAAGTAAACTGGAAAGACAAAGTGGTAGTCAGAGAAGGAATGAGATATGAATGCAACTGAGATATGAATGGGTTGCAGTTAATGGCAAATGTCAAGGTCTGCAGGATGAGACCATGAGACTGAATGGCTAGAGTAGTGTCGAAGACAAGTTCACTAGAAGGAAGAAGTTTGAAAACCTGAAAAGACAGAATGTTGAAAGGATCATCAATGTGTATATCAAACTCCTCAAGAATTAAGACAGGAGTACAAATGAATCAGGTGACAGTGATCCAGGTGCTAATACCATCAAGAATCCAGTTGGAAGAACCAGAGAATTAGTACATGAAAGAAACAATGAGTGGCAGTGGGTGTATGATCTGATAACATGAGAAGCAATTCTGGAAGAGTCTAGGGAGGAGAAAAGACTGACCCAGAAGCAGCAGTGAGGAGCAGAGAACCCTCCTCCAGACTCAGTAATGGCTGTCGGGGGATGCAGCCACCAATTGAGATGGCTAAAGAGGCTGATATGACTTCAGAAGAGAGCCTCATTTTAATTCTGAATGAGGTGATGAAGAAAAAGTTCTGAGAGTATGTTGGAACTCCAACGGGCACACATTCTATTACAACCTTAATGTCCATCTATAATTTCCTGGTTATTATGGTACAGTGGGTAAAGGTTTATCTGGGCTGATGCAGAGTATTCCACATTCTTCTATTAACTGGAATGCTAAGGTTAGAGATTAGAATTGCAAATATATGTATATATAGTTTGTACATGCAAAGAAAAAATTTTAAAAGTTAACCAGAAATAGTTGGCAGGGTTTCTCTTCCAGGGGAACTAACTTTAATGCTGAAGGGAGACTTTTACTCGTATTTTATAACCTGCTTTAGTGCAACAGCATACTGTACAATCTGAGACAATTAAAACATGAATACTTATTAGCTCTTTGATATTAAGAAATTACTGTTCATTTTTTTTAGGTGTTACAAGGGTATCATGATCCTGTTTTAAAAAAAATTATCATTTAGAGATACACATACAAATATTTCCATATCAATATTTTTAGGCATTTGCATGAAAATAATATGAAAGGGAGATCATATAAGGGTATAGAGTCTTTAGAGAAAAAGTTATTCTGGAGTTGAGTAAGCTTGAAGCAGAGTTGTAGTTACATGGAAGTTCATTACACTATCCTGTCTACTTCTGTATATATTTCAAATTGACCATAATAAAAAGGTTTAAAAAATAACTTTTAACTTATAAGATAGTATATAATAAGTAATAGCTATTTAGATCAAGTTTTGTTTCAGTTCAACTCCACAAATTATTATTTGCACTAAATTTGAGGAATGCAGTGGTATAAGTATTTCTGGGCCCAGATATCATGTATGTGGCTTAAAGGAGAAGACAACAGTTAGAATCCCCCCCAAAAAAGAAAACCCAAATAGATATATATTTATATGTACTTGATCCATCTCATAATCCATCTCATATCATCAGATTTCTCCATATTATTCAGTATAATGTGATAAACCGATTTAAAAAGGGCTAAAGTGGGGGTGTGTGATCAGTTAGGAGGCTAGCATAGGCTGGTACAGTCACCTAGGCTTATGTCTGCAATATAAAGGGTGGTCAGAGGAGGGAGAATCAGCAGACCATGCTGAAAGGAAATGGTGGGTAAGTGTGGTGTCATAAAGCTGGGGGGTGCGGACTCAAGAAAGAGTCAAATACCAGCCAGGGGTTAAGCAGGATGATTATTCACTGCCGCAACCACAGAAGCCACAATCAGGTTTGATCTATGCTCAGAAACACGCAATGGCTTCTTGTGGACTCTACGAATGTGTCTGCACTTCCTGTGAGGCATCCCAGGGTCTGGTCTCAACTCTCTGTATATTTCTTTATACAGTATATGCTAAGGATTTGATGGAATAAGCTGGGGAATTTTACAACCTCTTGCTCTGGAGAATCCTGCTGGGCATAATTCTCATGTTCTATCGAAATTTGTCTCATCCTCCTAAGTCTTAGCCTGAAAACACCAACTCTTCCATGATTCTCTTCTACTTTGCATCCATTTCTCCTTCCCTCAGAACATTATATGGACCTCAGTTTTGTCCATGGATAGTCACTTCAGTGTGACTTCATATATATAGTGCCTTTCATATCTTTTCCCCAAGTAAGTTATAAACCTCTTAAGAGCATTTAATGTTCATTCAACTTTATCTTCCTTGATTAACTTTATCCATTTTAGCGACCAATAAGTATTTATTGAATTTAAATGATTTCTTATCCCCTTGTGTCTACCTTTTGACAAAATCTACATTAATGATGAAAGTTTCCATAGAAAAATTTGATTTTAGCTTAATAAATACTCAACTATGCTGTGAACATGTGTGATAACTGTAAGATATCAAATGACAGGGAAAATTTAGGAGGGTGCATAAAATTCTTTATTTAGAACAATAAAGTATATGTATATATAATGTAATTTCAAATTCAAACCTGTATAAAAAAGGGTCATGACATATACCTATTTTAAAAAGTACACATACAGTATATACACATACACATCACATTTTACAAACTTGTTTTTACTTAATTAAACTTCAGTCATAATAAAACTATTTAGAATAGTGTTGACATACATTTACATTATAATATGCAAACTCCAATCTATGACTGAACTAGCAATTATCTGTGCATCCATCTAAACGTCTGAATACTTTTCAAGTCCATTGCTTTAACAAATAGTGGCAGGCGGACACTATAATCACACATTAATCCTTAGAATATAGAACAGGATATTTTGATTGGAAAATTACATTTAGTGAGTCTTGTAGCTCAGAAACCAAGTATATGAAAACACAATGGTTTTTAGTTCAAACAATTATTTTAATTTTACTTTTAAAAACATCATAAGGATATAGTTGAAGATGGCAGTTATAAATAAATTTACAATGCTTAGCAAACATTTTAGGATCATAAATATCCATTTTAATATCGATTATACCTAAAACAAAACCTTGTTATGAAATGGAAGTACCATTATTTTATCTTTACAAAGGCATCTCAAGACTAGTTAATGGAAAGCAGCAACACCATGAATTGCGTGATCAAACACCACAAATGAACTAGTTAGAATTTCAATCTGAATGATTACATTTTAAAGCCCATTTCAAAATAGTATCGTTTCAAAGATAAGCTGGCTTACTTTAAAATTCTTATCCTGCTTTCCAATTTTAAAATGTAATTTATGGATTACCCTTTTATGAATTGGTTCTAAAATATCTTTTGGCATTCGAAAACTTTATGAACATTTTACATTTTCTGCTCTTTCAATAAAATGAGAACATATAAATGCTTAATTTGGTGCATTTCCAAATATTATGCACATTGCATAGTATCTCTTATGGACTAAAATGTACTACTGGTTTTCATTCTTTGGAGGTGATCTAAAATGTTTATCTAAGCAAAGGAAAAAGCCATCTCTTGTATAAATGTTATCCAATTCACCCTACTTGAGACTGAATTTCACTTTTACCAGTGGACCTTATTTACATTAGAAACAAGAATAGCAATGACTTTTTATGGTCTAGATGCTTATTCACAGAGACCAGACTTAGACATTTTGTATGGGATAGTTTCATCTCTATTATATCTTCTTTTTCAGTCATACAGCAATAGGGCTCACCCCTAGGGAGTGACCTCCATGTTTACCATACAGATAAATAAAAAATTGAGATCCAAAAAAGGGAGGTGATTTATTTCATCAGTTAAGGGCACAGTGGAGGCTCCTGACAATCCTTCCCAAGATCCAATTCACTATGCCAAACTGACTTTTTGAAGAATATATTTCTAAAAGAAGAACGGATATGGAATGCCTAAAAGACCCCTACTGGAATTCAGTTTTGAAACCAAAACCTAGCTGCAGAAAAACATTAAGAAATATCCCTAATTTCTGAATGGATTTTTTTGTTCATTTATAACTTCAATTGAATTAGAGTAACAAAATGTGCCAAAGTACTTTAAGGTACAATGAAATGTGTTTAATTCTTACTAAAAGTAAATACTTCATTATGGACACACACTTTTTGATACATTTTCATTTTTCACATATGTAATCATTTTTTTAAGAGCATAGGTTACTTGTCCTATTATTGTATTGAAAAAAAAAATCAGTTTGTCTCTGACTCTTTAAAAGGTGGCAGTGTGGTAAGCACATTAGATTATAACACAATATCTAGGAACACTTCAATAACACTGGGAAATCACCATCTACCACAGTTCCAGTTTCTTTATAGACTTGGTTTCTACCAAAGAGGTGTGACCCTTTCAGTATAATTTAGAATCTGCAGACTTCTGAAATAATTTTAAAAGGCAAATTTGAAACATAAGAAAAAACTATCAGATACACGGCACTAATTTAAAAGGTGATTTCATGGTTTACCATCTCAGTTGTGAGTTTTTCATGATTTATGAAGAAGGATTTTCAGAACACATGTGGGATAAAATAAGCAAAGATATTTATATATATATATATATATTTTTTTTATCTCAAAGCAGATATGACACAGTTAATGTCCAAGTAGCTAGCATCCAAAATAATGTTCAGCACTTTTCTATTGTTCATGCATTTTACTGAACTTCAGTGTTTTAAAAATTGGCAATTCATGTAACTCTCAATAAACCAACAAGTTTAATAGGCAGGATGCATCTCCCCTACCCTACCATGTCAGATTTCATAACTTGCTGAATTTGTTAATTTAACTCTATTGATTAAGACCATGTCCTTGAGTGTTAAAACCCAGCTACTAGCTTTGAGAACAAAAGTATATTTTTTGTACTCTCAAGCTCATCAAACAGCATTTTCATATGGCCAAGCAAACTGAAACCATTGGTTAAATAAATCAAACCATTAGATTGAAAAGTATCAATCTTCTCATCTACACACGACCTACACACACAACTCATATTAATCTATGTCTATTTCCCTCAAAACAATCAATGCACACATGGAGACAGGTCCTCTCAGCAGTTAAACTGATCTCTTGTTTTATTACTAATTGATTGTACTATGGGATATCTGAGGGCCTAAACAAGTTAATGCAGCTTCTCAAAGCACCTGGGTTGTATCTTAGAGAAATGACTAGTGTTTGAGGAACCACAGCACTTTAGAGAAGAAAGGGAAAATAGATGTTACCTGGGCTCATTGGTACAAAAAGAGCAAATGCCACTTACTGGAGCTATATTTGGATTAGCTTTGAACATAAGCTAAAATCCAACTGAACTAGAAATTCTTGGACTTTTGCAATTAAGGGAAGCTAGCAGTTTGTCATGCTCTTTTATATCTGTACATTGAAAATGGTCACCTTAGGTTTATAGAACGTGGCAATAATGTTATGACAAGGATTAAGTTAGAACGGAATGCTTTGGACTCCTTTCATGATATGTTAAAAGAACCTTCACGAAATAAACCATAAGAAATCATTCTTTGACTATAGTCAGATGTTCTTTCAACTATTAAAAAAAATTGGCAAGGGGAATTCACATCGTGTCTTACACGTTCTAGTTTAAAAGCACAATGTCCATTTTGGGAATTCCTGCCAAATTCACTTTTAATATGACAAATGCTGTCACGCATTTTAAGTAGCAAACTGACATGCATAACTACATAAAGCTCTCTTTTTATTTTTAATTTATAAACCTTAATGAATATAGAGTGCCTGATTTTAAATAAATGGATCCTTTAAACAGATAATCGTGATTATACTATAAATAAAGTTTCCTGATTCCTTGCATTCTTGTAAAAGCCAAGTAACCTAGTTTTCAACACACATATTAGCAGGTGGGTGTTGTTTTCTAACTTAGATACTAAATATCATAATTTATTTATATTCTCTCCCATGGTAGAAATTAAAAATGGGACCTTCATACATTCAGCATTTTCTCCTAAGTCCATTTACATAACTCTGTAATAGTTTTAGAATATAAAATGTCATAACATATTTTTCAAACATGATTTATACACTCTATAGTGGTCAAGGGAAAAGGCAGACTTCACCAGGGGTGCCAAATGTCCTCGGCAGACTGTTCTGCTGTTCAGTGTTCATAGCTTCTTCCTGCGATGACTCTTTTCAGAGAGTTTCCCCTCTGCCGAGGCATACTTCAGTCTCCCCTGCATGGAGAGAACCAGACAACCATGTCCATTTGTCTAGTGGGATATGAGTGAGCCCCGTTTACGACAGGAAAAGATCAAGATCAGACCCATATTGTAAATCAGCAATTACAAAGCTGACATGTTGCCAACTCTAATCACTTAATTCCCATTGCTTTCTATACTGTACAGTGGCCGATGCTACTGAGTTTTTGTTCTTTAAAATTTTTTCTAAATCCCTTTGAGAAAAATTATTACTCCCCCTAACCAGGCTGAAATCTACTTGCAGAGACCAAGATAACTACAGGCTGCAGGTTGTAACTGAAGGATAAAGCTATGTTTTCTTTTTAGCATTTAGACATTTATGGAGCCATGCAAATGGTGTGTGCAGTCTGAGACGTGTGCTTTCTCTGCCAACATCAGTTGCAAATTCCAAATGAGACCACAAATCCCCCAGGTCCTTAAAATAGAGTCCTGCTCCATGCAAGTTCTTCTTTATAGATGATTAATTCAGTGCCAGTTTCACAGTAAAACACTCTGTTCCAATTTCTGAATCATCCATATAAAGTCATTGGTAGCAAGAACAGATAAAGATGCGGTCTGTCACTCCAGACAGAATATGAATTTGTTTAAAGCTGCTTCATTTATGAAGCAAACATGAACTGTTACCAGCCTAGAGAGGAAGGAAAAAAGAGAGATTATGGTGTGTCTGCTTTCTGCCTTCTTTTCATTCTCAGTAGCTGAATTCATATAAAACCACAGATGAGTAATACACTTACTATGTATACTTCACTTACATAACCTTTAAGAACCTGATAAATGTTTTCTTAAGTGAAGGATCAGTCACTCTCCATGATCTCTCTGGTAACACTTGACATTGTCTGAAATGATCTTACTGTTCATTGTCTGTTTCCTATCGTTAGAATGTAAGCTCCCTGAGGGTGCGGAGCTTTGTCTACCTTTTTTACTGTGGTACCTTCACTCTCATAACAGTGCGTGGCATATAATGGACACTCAGTAAGTATGTCTTGAATATAAGAACACACGAATGAATACCCTGTGGCTTTCATATCCCCAGACATTCTAACAATTATCTCAGTTTGTGATAAGAGGGTTATCAGCCTATTTAGCCTCAAAGTTCTCTAGCAAGGCTGCAAAAGGTAGGAGACAGGGGGTGAGGGGAGAAGGATTGAAGGACAAGGCAGTGTCTACAGAGTGAAGAAGTGGAGATGGACGGAGTAGCATAAAAAGGATACTTGGGACAGGTGGAGAAGCTGGTCAGAGGCCACCATCAAATAACAGCTTCATGGCCAACTGAGTAGCTCCAGTATCTTGGCTGTCTAGCTAGGCTTCAGCAATCATATCTCCCAATTGAGAAAACAGTTGCAGCAAAATCTCATTCAATATTTCCAGCCAGAAAAAGAAAGACTGAAATCCTGGCACCACATCCTGACAAAGCCTCTGGGAAGGTTCATTTGGCCTCAGCACAGCTTATTGTACTTGTTGAAGCACGAAAGCCATACTTTGTTTTAGTTCTTCAGTGCTGGTGTGAAACCACTGCGCGTTCAGATTTCTCAGCTTTTCAGTCAAGTATTTATACTTCCTTATCTACTTTCCTTTTTACTATAAACAATATCTTCACTCTTGTCTCTTCTTCCTCACTCACTCTTTTTCCCTACTTTTGTCTTTGTTTATCAATCCCAGAATCACAGATCACTGGTTTTAAAACAATGAGATCATTACACAGATTATATATAAAATTCCAAAGTAGGAGTAATAAGAGTTGCAGCATTTTTCCCAGCCTCTCTAAATGTAATATATTAAAAACTGCATTACATGACAATTCACCAGAGAACTCTAAAAACTAGAGAATCTGTATTTAGGAAAGCAGAATTAAATCCATAAAGAAAAAAATAAAAGACATTAGGAGAAAGCTTCAGAAATCCAAAAAAAAAAAAAAAAAGAAGATATTTTAAAATTAAAACATGGCGAAGAAAGCAAAAAGGAATCACAAAAATCAAAGGGATTTAAAAATATATGTATGAATAATTTTAAATTCTAAACTTAATTAAATGTAGAGAAGCAGGATTGGAAATCTCTCTGATTTTGTCCCTGGGTCACTTAGCAAAGAAAATAAACTTGAAGGCTGACAGCTGTTTTCCCATAGAACAGACTACAATTTTTATAATGATACCCTAGATTCTTGCAACAACCTCATGAAATAAGCAGGGTGGGTATTATTATCCCCTCATTATATTTGAAAAACCAGGGGTTAAAAGACATGAACTGACTCATCCAGGATTCTACAACTAGTTATGTCACAGAGCCAAGACTTGATCCCAAGTCTAAATCCCTTTTAATCCTCTGCTTTATGATGTGTCAATAGAAAGAAAGCTCAGAGACACAATTCCCAAAGCTCAAAAAATTTCTAGGGAATGTCTGGTAAAGAGTCACAGATTTTGTCATTTGGTAACTGTAGTGGATTGAATTATGTCCCTCCAAAACTCCCTGAAGCTTGAATTGTGTCCCCTAAGTATTACATATTAGAAACTTAGCCCCCACTGTGACTGTTTAGAAGGTGGGAAATCCTATTATAGTAATTGAAAGGTGGAGCCTTGAAGAGATGATTGGATTGTAGGACCATGCAGTAGTGAATGGATTAAAAATGGTGGTCAGGGGCATGGTTCTAAGTACTTTAAAAGAAGAGGAGAGTCTGTCTTTCTGTCTCTCTGCTCTCTCTGCTTCCACCATCTTGTAATGTGAGACCCCTGGGTCACTGTCACCACAACCAGCTGGACTCTGGACTTCCCAGCCTCAGAAACTATAAGCAACAAATTTCATTTTTCTTTATAAATCACCCAGTTCTGTGTATTCTGTTATAAGCAATACAAACAGACTAATACAATAACCAACCATTCCCAAACACTGTGCCCTAAGTGTCCAAGCTTGACCTGGGGTCATCCTTCCTCCAATCTTAAGATCTATTTTCTTCCATTTTACCTCAGATCTACATGAGACTTTCAGTTTATGTTTCTCTTATGAATCTCTCCACAAGCCTAATTATAATGATAATCACTTTCTACATTTACCACACTGAAGTAAGTCACTAAACTACTGAGTGTCTACAAACCCATGCTATTTACTATCAACCTTCTCTATGACTAAGCAGTCCTTCTCTCAAGTTCTCACTTAAAATTCTCTGTAGATGACTATCAGATCCCAAATCTATTATTTGCAGCCCTGACTGTTCTCTGAAGTTCCAGTCTAACATATTTGGCTATTGGTCAGTTCCACCAGTACTTACCAACAGCTCCATTTCCTGACTTCACATTTTTATTTAATGGTTCTGCCATCTGGCAATTCCCATAGGCTCCAAATCTCTCCCTTGAATACTGCTGTGATGCCGACCCTCACCTGCCATCAGTCACTAGAAGTTGTTGATTCTTTAACTGCAATATCTCCAAAATGGTCAATGCTGTCCTATTTCCTTTCCTCGACCCTCGTTCAGGTGGTTATTCTCTCAGATCTGATTGGAAGACTGACCTCCTAGATGGACTCTCTTCCTCCAGTTCATCACTCCCATCCATCTGGCTACACCAACACCTTATTACTTTTTCTAAACCTCTGCTTTGATTGTATAACCCACATCTTTTTTTCACCTCCCAAACAGCTCCTTGTATTACCTGATGGAGTGTAAACCCTCTTCTTCTGGAATTCAAACCCTTTGTCAAACTGATGCCCACCCTTTCTTCTCAACATTTGAACCCTTTATATGTGACTTCCACTGGAGTCCAACTGTGCAAACTGACCCTTGAAACATAGTCTATACTTGGGGGCCTTCCTTACTTAGTTTATGCTATTCACAGCACAGATCTAGTTCAGTACAAATGCCAGCTCCATCACCTACAAAATGAAGCCTTTCCCATTTTACTAGTGATTTTCCTTTCTCTTCAAAGAAGGCAATTGAATACCGGTGTGCATGGCACAATTCTAAGAGATACCATCCACATCAACATCAGAGATGTGTTGAGTTTGTATCTTGGACAACTAAATGTAGCGGCCCTGACTTTGACCTCTTATTTCATTTTCTTTGTAAGCTTCTTGTGTTGCTTTTTAAACTTCACAGACTTCTAGTTTACTTCTTGAAATTGGTTATTAAGCATATGCCTTATTTCCTTTTGTGGGCTATAAGCAAGTTGAGGACATAGCAGGTTAAGCTTTGCATCTACCAATGTACCTCGTAGAGTTTGTTGGAATCATATTTGTGAGAAGAATAAGGAGCAAAATTTTCCCATAATATACTAACATAAGAGATGCTTTTGAGGTAATTTATTTCTACCTTATTATTTTTTAAAAATTTTTATTATTTATTATTAGCATATTCATTCTCACAAATCGTGATATTTCTTTATGCCCTTTACCTGACCTATCACTTCCCAAACCCTCTCCCTCCCTTCCCCCATCTCTAGTATCCTTAGGTTTGTTCTCTCCTTCTGAATGTTCAAAGTATTGTTGTGGTCTTTTCTTTCTTTCTTTCTTTCCTAGCAGCCAGTTATGAGTGAGAACATGCGGTATTTTTCTTTGTCTGGCTTATTTCACTTAACCTAGTTTTCTCCAGACTCATCCATGTTGCCACATATGGCAGAATTTCATTCTTGTTTATGGCTCAGTAGCATAAAAAAGTAATTTTTTCTCTTAAACTGAGCTACATACACCCCAAACATGAAGAGTTCTTGTAGGAAACCACATATAGATACTTGGCATCAGCAAAGTGACTTAGAGGATTTTTAATTTTTCATATAAACGTTTTCATGTTTGATGTCAAATAAACATAACTTCAGTATATTTTTTCTTAGATGCAACTCCTTTTGCTTTTGGTTCATTGCTTACATTCCTTCCATGTTCTTTCCTTGTATTTAAAATATTAAACCCTTGTTCTCTTTGTTTCCCAATTATAGGTTATTTCCTTCAGAGAACTATTTCATATGATTTCTATGCTAGTGTTCCAAAATTTGCCTGGATTTAATTTGTTTTAGTTGGTGACATTTCCATGTCAGGGAGAAATCCTTGCCATAAACCTGAGTCATTCCCTGTATTTCCCTTCTTGTCAACCAAGAAAATGATTGTAATCCAAATTATATCTAACTTTTAAGGTATATAATTACAACTCCACATTTCATTTTTCTATCCTGGCACTTTTTACTACTATTATTCTTATTTTTTGAAAGATTTCCTCTTCTACCACACCATAGTCTGTTCTCACTAAACTTTTGCTCTGTCACATGCCTCTCCCCAAAGTAGACTTAAAGTTCCTTTGAGGATTTTATTTATTTATTTATTTTTGTGTGCCTGGCTGGTACAGGGATCTGAACCCTTATCTTAGTGTTAATCAGTTCATTTATTTGTTTTTTGGCAGCTGGCCAGCATGGGGATCTGAACCCTTGACCTTGGTGTTACAAGGCTGCTTACTAACCAACTGAGCCAGCCCGCGCATCCTTGAAAGATTTTAAACCTCGTTGGTACAGGGCCAAGCTTAAGGTTTTACTCAATACAATGGGTAGTCAATAAATGTTTACAAATGATATATGCGCATTTTGACTTTAGGGTTTGCAGATTCATGGTGATAAGCTGGCCTTCCCACCCTTACCCCCCCTTTCCCTACTTTTCCTTTGGCATTTGAATTCCTATTTACTCATACATATACACAGGCTTATTCCTGTTTTTATCTCCTTAAGTTTTATTCTCACATTATTGCAGTTCTCTGAGATGTTCACTCGTCTCTCCATTCATTTATTCAACAAATATTTCTCCATCACTTATATGTGCAAAGTTTAAGCCATATAGTTCGGTAGGGTTTCAAAATTAAATTCAGAAAGAAATCCTGCCCTCTAAGAGTACATGGTTTTGAAAAAGACACAAAATGTCTATGTAAGTAACTGTGACGTCCTACCAAGGGTCACATGAAATGTAATTAGGGGGCCACAAATAGAATTAGTTTCATTGGGGAAGTCAGCTTATTGGAGGCAGAGGTATCTGAGCTGAGCCTTGACAGAGATTTGCAGATTTGATGAGTAAAGCATTCTTCCAAAGGAATTAAACACTTCTTCATGCATTCTGCCATTTATTTTACATTGACTAGTCAATAAGTGTGATGAGTTTATTTCGGAATAAATCTGGGTTTCTTTAACCTTAGTGTCTAATGTGATTCATTTTATGCATGAGTATTATTTTATACATTAAGAAAAGTAAGTTAATAGTAGATTCCCCACATGCATATATTCCCCCTTGTTGTGTACACCTTGCCGTCACATTGATCAAAACCAGCAAATTAAACACACACACACACATACACACATACACATAATCAAAATAAGCCCTACTTCAGAAGAACTGTCTTCCTTCCTTGCCATTCAGTTAAACCTTCATTTAAGGTTCATTCATTTGCTCAGTCTTTCATTCAACAAACATTTATCAAGAGCCTACAATGCATAGGCAACAAGTTAGGTGCTGGGGATACAGCAAGAACCAGATAGATCCAGCTCCTGTCCTTGAATGTTATCTGACCAGTCAACATATGCCTAAGTTGTTTGACTATGGTTGCTTGAAAATGCCATCTTTCATCCTCCTAAACAAGTGGCCTTATCCCCATCATAATCCACTCTCCAAATGTCACAAGACAAATGCCACAGTTAAAACCACATGATTAAAGACCTCTGTGCCAAGGCAGGATCCCAGCCATGCAACACAAACCCAAACAGCAGACGACATTACTTGAGCTTTTAAGACTCAATTAACCATTTAATGTGTGGTTTATGGATGTCTGGCTTTAGGGAAATGAAATGTCTATTAGGAAAGAAACAGTAAAACATATGTTGGGGTTGAAAGGCAGAGAAATGGGTTTCTAGGAAAAACAGTGATTTTAGCTTGGGAATATTGCTCCAGAAAATAAAAAGGGTTGAGTGAAGGGTCTATGCATTCACATTATCTGACAGGAAAAATGGGTCTAGAGAGAAGCTAGGATGGGGAATAGAAAAAAGAGGGTGCTATTCATGCATTGGACATGGTGATCAAGGGTATGATTGAAGGAAAAAATGAAGAAGTCTGTGGAATAACAGGAGAAAAGTGTTCAAGAAATGCATGGTGTAATTATTATTTCGTGGTAGGTTGGGTTGTTGAAAAATGATGTTCTATAAGTATAAAAGTGAGCTCCCAGAGGAGGCAAGAGATTCTATAACCCAGCTCCCCTGGGAAGATTCAGTCTAGAAATAAGTTTCTGAATCTGAGACAGAAATAAGACACGATTGTGACCTGTAAGGAAAAGGAAGAACTCATCACAGACCATATCCATAATAACTAGGAGAGAAAATGACCGTCTGACATTGAGAAAGTGCAGGGAAGAATTGAGAATTCAGGAAGAAGAGAGAACACTTGTACACCACTGTGGTAAATGCACTCAGGATTCCATGAAGAACAACAAAATTAACAGCCAGTTAGCAGAAGTGACAATGAGGAGGAACGTGAATCAATACTGGATCTGGTTAATGCCATCTGGGTGTTCCCCCAACAGTGTCTGCAGCTTGGGAGCAGAAAAAAGCATACAGGACAGGAGATAATAAACATCAATTCCTTCTGGCACCTGTTACTCTCCTCCCCCCATCCCTCCACAGACCCACACAAAGTCACAACCGGTATCTGTCACTGGTTTACATTCAGTGCATCCTGGGCTCTAGACAGTGACGAGGCATAATCATTACCATCATGTGGCAGATGGCACTTTACCTTGACAATTTTACTCTCCTGATTGTAAGATATTTTGACCTTTTCTCCTTTTCCTTAAAATGGCAGGGGAACATTTTTAGTTTTCTCTTGTTTCAGTATCTAACAAATGGGATACTATCATGATATGGCGGTCACACCTATATTAAATTGTTTTTATTTTTCTTCTACTAATAATATTTTATTTTAATTCTAATTTGCTCTATTCCCCTTTTCTAATTTATTTTCTGGCCTCAAAAATAGTCCAAATAAACACTCAACTATTAATTTTTTGTATATCTCCCATACAATATGAATCCACTAATCAGAACTAACACTGCTTACCTTCCAAAACTTGAGAACACACAGTGAATTAGATATGCACAATTCAATTATTAACAACTTCAGTTAACATGCTGACATCTGCTTGGTAGCAGACTTAATAAAAGAAAATAAAAGTTTAATATAAGTTTGTTTCTAAATTTTGGCATGTAAGATGCTGTTAGCTCTTGCTGATAGTTCTTGCTAAATATTTCAGCTTGAATTCTAAAAACTTACCAATGTATGAAAGTAACAGTGTTGATACAAGCCAAAATTACACTTCTTGAAACTCTCTCTCTTTTTCTTGCAACATACTGAAAAACAACAGGAAAATTGCTTATTTGCTTTTGGACAGAGATTCTGAAGTACACCATGATCTGGGCATTGGAAAAGGCAGTTTTTCTGTAAATACCACAGCAAAAAATTGCAAAATTGAATGGGAAGATTACCTTCATAAATATTACTACAAAGAAGGGAAGATTTGTCTCAAAGTCTTCCAAAGTAGTTTAAAAACCTCTACCTCTACATATGCATATACACACACTAAAAATGCTTATATCCACTTAATATCTATATATGTACACACTTAGGCATGATATAATAGAAAGTAACATGCCAAATGGAAATTATAGCTGAATGTAAGTGAAAATATTAATGCTGGGGCAATGTGGAGTAAGGCAAAAGAGTAATGAGGGTGAACTGCAGTAAATGAAAGGCATCTTAAAGCCATTTTAATATTTGGCTTTGGGAAATAATGAATGTGTTGAGAAAAGTTAAGGTCTCTGAAAGCCAAAGTAAAGTAAAAACTATATTAAGAATGCAAGAGAAACATATCTTGAATAGGAAGTGACATTATGAACCAGGGTTTAAGGAAAAATGTAACAAAGGTTGAGTTTAGCAGGGCTAAAGATCTGTGGCAGCAACTTGAGAGATAATAAAGATGTGGGTGAAGACAATGACTATTATTTCTTTCTCAAATAAATAGAGACTCTAAGAAAAGAATCAGTGTGTTTTGGAAATAATGTGGGAAAAAAAAGGAGAATAAGCACATGTGACTCCACAGATCCATGACCAGGAATCTGAGCAAGAGTCTGCTGCTTACAGAAGTAAAGAAAGCAGAGGTGACCACTTCTGATACCCTAACAAGGGTCATGTAAACAATTATGTGAAGGTATTCTACAGGTAAATGGAGATAGAGGATTGAAGACAGAATGAGAAGTCAGAAACATGGATAAAGAACTGGGACATACTGCTGGGGAGGCTGGATAACTTCTTAAAGAGACTATGAGCATGTGCAGGGTATATGAAATGGCGATGTCAAGCTTGCTTACATACACGTTCAGCAAAACAAAATACCTTATCTCATTATCCTCTTCATTCATCTGTATGTTTTCCACTGCCCTTGTAAGATTTGGTTGTCTCTTCTGGGAAAAGAACAATGACATATGTTGTGAACACATCAATGAATAGTATGTTATTTAAGAGGTAAGCGGTCTCCACTTTTATGTCAGTAACACCAATAACAGGCTTTTTCAGCATGCAAAATATTTTTGCAATGAAAAATTATGAAAAATGCACAGTATTATCAACTCAACATTTTCAAGATGTTGGGGGTCAAAGAGTAATAAACTAACAGATTTAAGTAGTAATCAAACTCAAAAGACATTTCAAAAAGCTGAGTCATGATGATTTAGCACATTTTGCAATTTTAGATGAGCTTCAATAAGAAGAGAACATAGGAGTAGAAATTTGAAATAGCTGATAGTACAAATGGCATTTCTATTTGGATTTTAAGCCCATTATATAATTTATGATTATTAGCAGATTTTCTTCCTTTTCATATTTAGTCAGGCTATTAAAACCAGTTCCCATTTCTTAAGTGTGGATTATCAAATAGAGAGGGGTTGTCTCCAAAGCATAATGAAGAATGGAGGGAACCTTTCTAAAATTTAAATTTTGTTGTGACTATATGTTAAGGTAGGACTCTGTTTTATTGATAAGATCCTTTCTCAGAAAAAGAAACTTTGTTTTTAGTGATTTATGCAAATATAGTATGAACAAATAAGTATATAAATTTGATTAACCAAGAGGAAAAATAAATGAATAAAAGAATAGTAACACTTGCCTTCCAGTATAAGGCTCCTAAAGCAAAGCCAATTACAAGAGAAAAGAATGCTGGCAATGCCATGGCTGCCCAGTGTAGGCTGGAGTCTCCAGTGGAATTTTCGGCCTTCCCTGTAATTTAAACAATGCAGTGGTCAATACTGTAGATCCATCCTAGAGGCTTTGCTCTTATGCTGTGGTTGTTCCCAACTGTTTCCATAACATACTCTTGACCTATAGATCTGTTTAAAGTATTCAAAAGGCTGATTTTTCTGCTGAGTATTGTTTTTACAAGGCAATATAAATTCATGTATACTCCAAACGATGAAAACATTTAAAAGAGAAAGAAACCCCACAGACAGAAATAGATTTGACTTGGTTAGTGTTGACACACATGGAATACACACTTGATATATTCTGGGGGGAAAATGATTTATACTATCAAGCAAATTTATCTCCTATGCCTTTATCTTCTAATGTCTTTTCACTTTCTCACTCTTGATAACTTGCCCAGAAATTTTAAACATGATATTTTTACAACCTGGATCAAACTGTATGCTTTTGGCTATGTTTGGCCTGCTATAAATATTGTCATTATATGTGCACTCTGGTTACAGTATTTTTAGGTACTTCATGCTTAGAATCATGGCTATTTCTTCATTCACATCTTCAATACATACTTATTGGATGCCAGGTAGTGCCAAGCACCGTGCCAGGGACTAAAGGTTTGATTTTTCAGATTTTTTTTATGTTAAAGAGCTTGAGACTGTTTAACAATGAAGAATAGTTGAAGCCACCAGTGTTGCCCCATACTAAATATGTCTAAATGAGTAACTTAGTGAGAGAGAAGATATGCGGGATTAGCTTGGGATATCTTCCTTTACCCTGTCTCATTCTTCCAAGAGAAGCAGAATGATTCACAAATTAAACAGAACATATCTCCCACAAGGTGTGTTCTCTTCCTCCCAACATGAAACTTATTTTGACAGACTTTTCTATATATCTCCTTACAAAGAACTTAGTTGTTTGAGAACATGGGCACATATGTGCTAGTTTGCAAGAGTTAAATTTTTATCTTTCTTTTAAAGGTGTAATGTATTTAGAAATTATTAATATCCAACAATTATATGATCAAAATGTAAACTAATATGAGGGGAAAGTGACTGCTTTTGCTGATTTTGCAATGGTGTTTGGGTTACAGGGTCAGCCTACAATTACCTATTCAAGCAATAAAGTACCTGAAGTACATCTATAAAGTACAGAATATAAAAGAACTGGTTTATATGTATGTATGTGTCAAAATTTGCAAGGGAAAAATAAACTCATAGGTACAACCTTAGAGGTAAGAAACAGAGTTTACCTACTGTAGTAAGAATAGGAATTGCCCATTCCCCCACCGAATGTGAACTAGGAGCAGAAAATTCCCTAATTCTATTATTCCTATGTTTCCGGAGAGACTCTAATGATAGAGTTTGCATGTATGCTCACGTGCATGGGTGTGTGTCAGGGAAAAGCAGGGAGGGATAGTGAGGGATGGGTATCTAGTGTAAAGTACAGGGTAGGGAGTTGCAGGAAGTAGGGTCATCCATTCACATAACTATGAATTGCCTCTGACCCACTCCACACCCTACAGCCCCATGGCAGATATGTTTCAGGCATTTCAGGTTAGAGCTCTACATGAATTTTCTCACCAAAATAAACCTGAATTATATGATGGGATTTGGTATAATTGAAATAGCACTATTATTATAATAATATAGCTATTTTAAGAATTATATAAGATTATGTGGGCTAGTCTGGGACTTATAAAAGTGTTTTCGATGAGTAAATGGATTTGGAGCCATAAGCAATTCCTATCATTTTAGGAATTTTCTTTTCTGGAAATCCGTTTATTTATTTTTTAATTTAGTAATTTTAAAAAAAATTAAAATTTTTTATTGTAACAGTTGATTGTATATATCTGTGGTGTAGAGTTGAATATCAATACCTGTGTGCAATATGTGATGGAATTTTAATATCACTATCTGTAGATAAATAATTTGGCAATTCATGTTTGTATTCTTCTTGATGGCCAACCTGCTGTGGCCCCCACTGTCTATTAGGATTTCTGGCATGTAATTATGATAGATTTGACTATGTGATCTCCTTAAGAGGTCCTAACCAAAGCATACTGAGAGAACAAAGGAATCTATTGATATTTTGTCCCCCAAACCCAATGGAAAACTCTACTGAGCTTGGATGGTGCTATGAAGAACTCTATTATTTATGTGTGGTTAGCCAGATGCCTTGTAATCAAGGCAGCCAAACACCCTGTTCTTCTTACTCTATCCAAAAGCCAAATTTGAATCTTGGATTTCATCACTTGGACCAGAGGAAAGCCCAGACTCACTAGCAAAAAGCAGAAGGAGCTTACTAGAGGGTGAGATGTTCTGGAATTCACTATCCAAAACCTTTCTCAGGCAGGTGGATAGTGCCTAAGGGAGGGGCTTTAAAGAAAGCTACATGGGAGACCTCACTAAGGAAAGCTCACACTCACTCTGAGAATGCTGTGAGTTTTTATCCACTTTGACAGTTACATCCCTAGGACTCTGGGCCAATACAAAGTCCTGGAACCTGACTAAGATGCAGCAGCAATCCCCCTGCAGGAGAGAGGGAGGGAAAGGAACAGTAATGACTGGGAGGGAAAAGGGCCCACAGACACTGAGCTTCACCTCCTGCAGAGGTCAAAATTACCTTGCTTTCGTTATTTCATTTGTTAATGCATAGGGTTTAAGAGCCAGATCTTCAGCTCTCTAGATAGGATTTGAGTTATCCCAAATTCTCAGGCTATTACTATGAACTTTATCACATTATTACTAAGACTGTCCTCTGTGCAAAATTATTGGGAACTGACTTATTTGGTTTGACTAATAATTATCATTATTTGTAGAAACACAGAACACAAAAAACTGTGCTAGAGTTTTGCTGATCTTCCTTTTAGAGTGAGCCTACTCATGAGCAGCACACCTGTGAACCTGGATCTCTGGGTGCTTAGGAAACATGCAGATAGTTACTCCTCCTTAATTCAGATCCAGAGCTCACTACAGACTCACTCGCCACAATTACTGATCCACAGTCTTATGGCATCTCATAATTAATGAACTCTTACTAGACATCAGGCACAGCTTCACACACATGTGTACAAGGATATTTTAAAAAGTTCATGGAAGTATTCACATTGTCTGTTAATTCTACTTTTCTACAAACTTTTTGAAGTACCTTTGTACTAACTCATTTCAAATTCACAGAAACCCTGTGAAGGAGGTAGCACCCTCCACTTGACTGAGGAGTCAAGAGAGTTTAAGTAACTCACCCAAAGTCACACAGCTAGCCAAGGGTTAGATCTGGGATGTGAGTCCAGGTTCTAGAAGATGTATAAAGTAATATATCAAAGTAAGGCTTTCTTTCTATATCATTTAAGTAATGCCTGCAAGGAACTCAAGCTTAAACATTTTTTAAGTATCTTTTTAACCTTGGCATAAAAGATATTACCATTACTTTGTAAACATGATTCCCACTGGATAACAAGTAGGTTGTATATTATCCCATGACTTTTCCTTGCACACTCACATCTCTAGAATAAGCCCTCAGATGTCCTGGTTCTCTGATTGGCATGGCAGTTTTTGTGTCTTATCCCTGAAAACGAACATGCTTTCTTAAATTTCCCTGACCCAAAAAACAGTTTTACCTCCTTCATGCCACAACTAGAAACATTCACATAACTCTTTTACTATACACATTACATACTGTACTATGGGTGATTCATTTACATTTGTTTCTCCTAGAATGTGAGCACCATGAAAGCTTGTCTTGTGCATAGGTATCTAAGTGGCATATTCATGAGTGACATCACCCAGCCAAAAGTTGCTGACAATGCAAGATCAATATATTTTTAAAAGGAGGAAAAAACAAGCAAAATAAACAAACAGGAAGGCTGTCCATTCATCTCGCTATTTAAAAAGTACCCTCAGACTCAGAGGCAAAGGATTGAAGAGGTTTTTTATAGTTGGTTTGTCTTTTAAAGACAGTAGGAAAGACTTTTGCTTCTAACCACAATGGTAGCAGACTAGCCTTTCCAACTTAAATAATCATAACTCTGGACAAATAATATGAGGCAACTCTTTTCAGAAATTAGCCAATAAGCCACACAAAAGTGTAATTCCTGAGAGAAGGAAAACACACAAAGTGAAGCTCATGATTGCCCTGGCTTTCTGGCTTTTAGCTCTCCTGTCTGGGAGGCACTTTCAGGCTGAGGTGTAGAAGACAGAGTCCACGCAAGGCTCAATGGTCTCACTGAGATAGAGTCAGAGATTTAAGTTCAGGGTTGTTGATGTGGATGGAGTTCACAGAGCTGGATTACTTGCAAGAAAGAACTATGCAGAAAAGGAGCACCGGAAATCTCCAGACAAGTCTCCTTAAGATGAGTCGAATAATAAGCTATACATGCACAGGGAGAGACATCACAAAACGTGGCAAAAAACAACTCCTGAAAAGCTATCATCCTAACAGAGATCCCAGCAGTCATACACCATTGGGGGACAAAGGAATTCTGATAAGCAAGATTGGAGATACTTTCTCAGCCCTCAGAGATATCTCATAAAATCCATGCCTTAGGAATAAGGCTACTCTCTCCCCTGTCCCTAAGAAAGTTTAAAAATAAAGATAAAGATAGTAATTATCCTGATCTGAGCAACACATATTGCACACAGGTACTGATATTGAATGCTGTACCCCACAGATATGTACAATCAGTTATGTTTCAATCAAAAATAAATAAATAAATAAAATAAAAAACACATTGAAAAAAAGAATAAAGATAAAGCTCATCTGCCAGTAATTGAGCCTTCTACCAGAACAAAACTCAACAGCCCCCAAAGGAACCCTACAAATTCTGGAAGATACTCAACAACATAGTATCCATAATATGCAGCACAGATATTCAAAAATTACTAACCATTTAACAGGAAATGTGACACATAATCAGGGGAGAAAAATGTCAACAGAAACCAATCCTGAGATGACCTACATGTTGAAATTAAGAGACAAGAACTTTAGAGCAGCTATTATAATTACATTTAAGGAACAAAAAAGAA